ATGAGGAGGGTGGGCTTTGGAGGGAGGGTAGGGTAGGGTGGGGGTAAGGGGGGAAGATCAACCAAAGGACTTACATGCAGGCATATAGGCCTAACCAATGGACACGGACAACGGGGGGGGAGGGCAAGAGCGGAGGGGAGGGGGTAGACGGTAACGTGGGGACAAGGAATGTAATGTAATTTCTTAATCAATAAAAAATATATTTAAAAAAAAAAACAATAAAATGGCCTCAAGTCCCTAAACTCCTATGGGGAGACAAGGTGTCTGCTCTGGAAAGAATGGCCTCCTGCATCTGCAAGGTGAGAGGGGGTGGTGTGTGCCAAAATGTTGGTAAGGACAGGGCAGAGAGGAGTGCTTGAAGGGCCTGAGGTCTGGTCTGGGGTGTCTGGAGGGGGATAAGGGGTTGGGGAGATGCAGGACTCGTTCTGGGCTCTAAAGGATGCTTCCATTTGAGGATTTGATTAGGTCCTGGCTAGGAGGAGCTGTTGAACAGGGCATGATCTGGTTGAGAGGAGAGTGGATATTGGGGTCACCATAGGGAAAGGGGGTGATTGGTTAGTGGAGGCCCCAAACGCCAGGCAAGAGCAGTTTGGCCTGGATTTGCAGCCTCTGAGCAGGCCTGGTAGATGTGCAGATGCAGGTCTGCCTATTTTGGGGGTCACTTTTCCTTTTAATGTGATCCAAAAAAGAGGGAGAACACGTCCTGATGTGAGGGTGTCTCTATGTTGTGTGTCCCACCCTTGGTACAGGGGTATATGTGTGATCATCTGGCCTGGGTGCATTTCTCTGTGGTGTGAACGTGTTTGGTTGGGTCTGTTGTATGTCATTGAGTAAGTGTGTCTGTATTTCCATGCTGTGTGTGGGTAGATGGAGGGTCTATTTTATGAATCTGTGTAGGTGTGTCTGAGTTGTACATCTAGTGTATGTGTGTATGTGAGAGAGAGAGAGCTATAGATCTGAGTTGTATGTGTCTTCGTGTGTGTCTGAGTTGTGTGTGGGATCTGAACTGTGTGCTTCTGTCTCATTCTGGGTTTCTGAGTGGTGAGTGGGTGATAGGGTAAGGGACAGGGGGGCCTTGCTGTTGCCACTGGCTGTCCATAATGCATACAGGGCCAGTTCAGCTGCTCGGCTCCTAGACTGTTGTCCCTGAGTGAATGACCTCTCATTGGGCAATAATTAACTTGTCCCCGTGAGAAGAATTCAAACTGTGTTGGTGAAGGGGGTGGGACCTGTTTGAGACAGGCCTTATTGCCAGAGAAAGGAGGAGGTCTTAAAGGGGGTCCTATAAGCATGTGTGTTGTTATCATTCCCTCCTGTCCACCCTGCAGGTCAGTCACCCTGTCCTGGATGCTATTCAAAATATTTAGCAACCAGTGAGGAATAGAGATTGACCAGTCCAGATACAAGCCGTGGCCTGAATGGAGCAGTCCTGGAGGCCATGCTATGCCAACCATTGTCTCTCTGGTTGCTGGACAATGGAAATGGATTCCAGGAGAAGGACTGGGGGGGATACAAGGGCAGTGCAAGGGAGCTGGGGGAGCTTGGGCAGTGTCTGTGAACCAGCTGTCATGGAAATGTTTCAGACTTTAACAGCTAATGTGCAGCTAAATCTCTGCTTGCCTTGACCTTTGAGCAGCTGCCAGGCCAGCCCTGGGTGTCCTTGACCCCTCCCATAGGGAGAACAAAGGACCATCCTTTTCTGTTGTCTGCAGGCATGGGGGGAGTGAATGATGCCAAACTACAGAAATTCCAGTGACCTTGTCTGTTTCAGTTTTCTTTATTGGCTATGATCTGACACTTGCTGAGGTGAGAGGGAGCCTGTAGGGGGCAGGAGCAGAGGGAGGGGAGGGATCAGTGAGGGGTTTGTGGACAAAGAGAAACCCCTTCCCCCCAAAGATAAAGACAAGAAGGTGATGGGGTCCTGAACCGATCCTATCCTCTGGATTCAGACCCATGCAAAATAAATATCCCCAGAAATGAAATCATCTACTCTGAAATCAATATCCCAGTTCTCTGAGGCCTGGCTCCTGCATCCCTCATGGTTCCTTCCTCTTGGGCTCCCTCTGATAGGGGCTGGGAGCTGGGGGCTGAGATAAGAAGGTCCCTTCCACATGCACAAAGGTCCCTTCCACAGTGTCAGCTCCATGGATGTAAAACCTTTTATTAGAAAAACCAATAACTTAAGTCAGTTTTGTACAAAGACAGTAGGATGTCTGCCCAATGGGCAGTCTAAGCTTCCATTGCCATTCCAGGAGAGGATAGGAGTCTTGGTCCAGAGCATCTGGGGACTACCAAGGGCCAGCCAGACAGCTGGAGCACTATGTCCAAACCAATGGGGTGTGGCTGAGTGAGGATTCATGCAGTCCATCTAGCTGGGCCAGGGTCTGTACAGGCTTGCCTCCTTTGGGAGCATTGGGTCACGGCACCAAGGCCCCAGGACCTCACATAGTGCTCGATGAGCCTCCTGCTGCAGATGCCAGATGTGGCAGGAGGCATGGAGGCCTGGCATGTCTGTAGGCAGAGGGTAAAGAGAGGTGATGAACTCTTCATTCCCTGCCACCACAGGATGAGACTGTCCCCAGACCTGAGGCCACAGCTCAGCCTTTGAGGCCCATTACTACCTCCTCTATTTACTTATCATTTTATTCATCCATCCATTTATGGAGAGGCAGTATAGAGAAATGGTGAAGAGCCAGGCTGCCTGAGTTTGAATCCCAGGCTATCATTTATAAGCTGTGTGACCTCGGGCAAATTATGTCATCTCTGTGCCTTGGTTTCCTCATCTGTAAAATGGGTACAGCCTAGCCATTTTGGCTCAGTGTATAGAGCATTAGCCTGCAGACTGAAGGCTCCCGGGTTTGATTTCAGTCAAGGGCACTTGCCGGGGTTGCGGCTCGATCCCCTGTAAGGGGGCGTGCAGGACGCAGCCGATCAATGATTCTCATCATTGATGTTTCTCTCTCTCCTTCTCCCTTTTTCTCTGAAATCAATAAAAATATATTTAAAAATAAAATAAAATGAAATGGATATAAATACCTGTCTCTTAGGCTTGTTATGAGCTGTATATGTAAAACCATAGAATTGGGTCTAACATATGGTAAGTGTAGTAGGAGTATTTCCCTACTATTATTATAATTAATTACTATAATTTACACATTTCTTAAGGGCCTCGTGGTGCGTGGTGAGGACTTATCTAGACGCTCTCCAGATTACAAAGAACCCTACCTCTATCCATTGCTCTCCTCGCCAAATTTTATAAAGGCTCCTACCTCTCCTCCCCCACATCCACTCACTTTCATTCCTCTACTCTGTAATGATCTTTCTGAACCTACAGATTACCTGTGATTGAAGCACAGTTGAATCTGCCCCCTGCCCCTCTCCTACTCCTACCCTCCTTGTGGGTCAGGGCAAATTTTGCGGGAGCAGAATGGCAAGGGCCAGTCTTTGGTGTGAACAGACCTGATTTCTGCCCCTACCTGGCTGTGACCTTCAGCAAGTCACTGAGCCTCTCTGAGCCTCTTTCATGAGATGACTGCTGTAATAAGGACACAAAGAGATAACAAATGTCAAACCCTCAGAAGGTGCCTTCCCTGGCTGGGCCCTGCCCCCCTCCAGCCGTGGCCCTCATCCTGGAGTGTCCGGGAGCTCACCAGGGTTGAAGAGGATGGTCCCTTTCAGGTAGGCATACTCCTTAGGGCTCAGCTCCAGGCTCCAGAAGGACTCCAGGCAGCACTGGAGCCACTGCACCGCAGCCAGTGAGGGCCGAGGCAGATCCGGCTGCTGGTCGCTGCCTGCACTGCTGCTGGGCTCCTCCAGCAAGATCTTCTTGAGGATGCTGGGAACCGGGGCCTCTACCACCTCGAAGGTCACAGTGTCTTGGGCCAACCCAATCAGGAAGAGGGAACTCCAGCAGTCCCGCAACAGCTGCTGCTGATCCTGGAAGGGCAGCTGGCGGAAGGATGGCAGGTTCCTGAGGAAGACCACTGTCTTGGCCAGGACGTCCAAGGCCTCCCGGCAGGTGCGATGAGGAGCACACAGCTGGACAGGCCGGTGCTGCTTGCAGAGGCAATGCCTACGGGCTGGGGGCACAGCAGGCCTGGCCCTGAGGCTGGGGCTCAAAAGTGCATACAGAATGGCTGGGCGCCCTGCAGCATGCTGGCATGGACAGGTCCCCGGCTGGCTGGAGTTCATGGTTGAGAATCTGTTCCTCCTTCCTCCCAGCTCTCCCGCCCTCTGATCTGTGCTGTGGGTGCTATTTATATCCCTACTGGTAGGAGGGGGGAACGGTTCAACAACCTTGACTCTAGAAAGTCATGTTCATTGAAAAAAAAAAAAAAAAACAACCACACACTGACCCTGGCAGGACTGGTGGGGAAGTGCTGGGGGAGGGGACTTGGAAGCTCCACGTGGCCCTGATATCACTTTAGTCAATGAAGTGGATGGTGTAGGGCACGGGGCCGCCCGTTGGCTGTCCCGGCTGTCCCTTATCGGATGACTCAAGTGGATAAACAGGGTCATTAACCCAAGCTGTACCAGGGCACCAAGGCCTCAGGTGCACATTCAGCAGGTGGCCATGGCAGGTGTCCTTGCTGGTGCCTGCAGGACCCTTGCTAAGCTGTGATGTCAGCTCCAGAGCTAGACAAGCCTTGAATACAAGGCTCAACCTGGAAGTGCCTTATCACTAGCTTGTTTGCCTAACCTTGGGGCTCAGCTCCTGTTTTTTGGTAAGGAACAGGCTACAGGGAAGGGAGCCAGGACCCTGGGGGGCTGGGAGGACTTTGCCCGCTGTGCAGTTTAGGAGGCCCCTTCCTCTGACTCCAGTTCTGGGGGCCCTGCAGAAATGAGATCCTTAAGAACTCTCTTTCCCCAGTCTGGATTCCTAGAACTCCTGAGAGGCTGTATTTGCTGAGAAGCCCTTGCAGAATGATAATAAAATATGGCTGCTGTTTATTGAATATTTACCATGTGCCAGGAACTTGCTACTCAAATATTCAGGGCTTCCCTACAAGTAAGATTTTTACTTTGTGAGACTCAAAGAGGTGAAGTGAATTGCCCAAGGTCATGCCACTAAGAAGAGGGAGAGCCCAGATCTATCTGATTTCAAAGTCCTTGCCTGATCTTCTGGACCCATTGGCCCAATTGTGCAGCCAGAGCTGTGTGGCCTGAGTTCCTCAGAGTTGGTGGCTACCTGGGCCCCCACCTTGATACTGCCTTGTCTGAAGATGTTGCCCACCTATGATCTAGGCAGAAATGTTGTTCTGCCACTAGCCACAGGCAGCCTGGCTCTTCACCATTACTCTATACTGCCTCTCCATAAATGGATGGATGAATAAAATGATAAGTAAATCGAGGAGGTAGTAATGGGCCTCAAAGGCTGAGCTGTGGTCTCAGGTCTGGGGCCAGTCTCACCCTGTGGTGGCAGGGAGTGGGGAGCTCATCACCCCTCTTTACCCTCCGCCTACAGACATGCCAGGCCTCCATGCCTCCTCCCACATCTGGCATCTGCAGCAGGAGGCTCATGACATTTTTTTCCTGAGTCCACCTGCTCCAGCCCAAGCAGAGATCAGCTGTAGCCTGGGCAGAAGCTGGCTGCAATGATTTGGCCATGTTGTCCCCAGGGGTGACCCAATGCTCCTGTGCAGACCCTGGCCCAGCTAGATGGACATATGCGTGCATGTATTTAGGTATGAACTCATGGTCTCCTATTTTATTCAGTGGCATGTAATCTGTTATTATCCTTATTTATTTTGATGCCAGGTTGTCACAGATTTGGCCAATGGGAGTCCCATTCAAGCTGGAGTCTATATCCTTTTGATATTCCCCATCATTCTCTGAACACCCTTTATTTTCTGGTATAACAAGATGTCGTTTTTCCAGCCCCTGAAGTCAACCACTATTCCAAGAAGCTCTAATTTAATCTTTTAGTGGAGAATAGTATTTAAAAACCATGATCTGGGCACTAGAGTCATATTTAGAAACCAAGATCTGCTCATTGCTTTTATGGTGTCACTGCTCCCAGACCCTCCCAGAGCTAAGGAATGTAGGTGCATGTGCTTGCACACACACACACACACACACATTTCTATTTAGTTCTATATCTATACATATATAATAAAAAACATGAGCCTAGTCAGGTTGGTTCAGTGGATAGAGGTCGACTGCAGACCACTTGTAATACTGCTTATAGGTTTGTAGCAGGAATTTTGATAAATTCTACTTTGTGTAATTCCTACAAAATCGAACCCTAAGGGTCCCGGGTTCGATTTTGATCAAGGGCACGTACTTTGGTTGCAGGCTCCTCATATGCAAGAGACGACCAATTGATGTGTTTCTCTCTCACATTGATGTTTCTCTCTGTCTTTCCCTTTCTCTTCCACTCTTCCTAGAAATCAATGGAAAAATATCCTTGGGTGAGGATTAACCAGAAAAATAGAATAAAATAAAATAAAATAAAAACATGAGGTCAGACTATTAACTGCAATGCTAATTCACCATAATAGGATTTATTCCAGTTTTCACCTTTCTGTATTTACACCTCCCTTCTCTGACACAGAGAAATCTGGCCTCCATTATTTTTAATTTATTAACTTGTTGGATCAAGCCCCTCTTTGTAACCAATCTCTCATCTCTGCCCACCCCATTCCATGAGAATTACCTACCTCACCCCGCTTGGGCTCTGATATCTTGGGTCAGGCTGCTCCCTCCCACTCAGGGTCCCCTTCTTCACCCTGCTGAGTCTCTGTCACCCCATGCCAGGTCACCACTCCTCGTGGACGCCCTCCTCACCCTGCTGGGGCTCTGACTTCCACTTGGGCCACGGTGGCTCCCTCCCCCTCTGGCACATACCTCTACCCTATTCTGCCCTACCTAATAGTTTTAGGACTAAAATTTTCAGGACGAGCCCTGACCGGTTTGGTAAAGTGGATAGAGCTTCGGCCTGCGGACTCAAGGGTCCCGGGTTCGATTCCGGTCAGGGGCATGTACCCTGGTTGTGGGCACATCCCCAGTGGGGGGTGTGCAGGAGGCAGCTGATCGATGTTTCTCTCTCATCGATGTTTCTAGCTCTCTATTCCTCTCCCTTCCTCTCTGTAAAAAATCAATAAAATGTATTTTAAAAAATTTTTCAGGACGAGACAGGAAGAGGAGGAGGTAAAACTGTCAATGATTTTTTTTTTAATGATTAGCTTTATGTCAATTTTATCTTAATTTTTTAAATATATTTTATTGATTTTTTACAGAGAGGAAGGGAGAGGGATAGAGAGAGTCAGAAACATCGATCAGTTGCCTCCTGCACACTCTCCACTGGGTATGTGCCCACAACCAAGGTACATGCCCTTGACCGGAATCGAACCTGGAACCCTTGAGTCCGAAGGCTGACGCTCCATCCACTGAGCCAAACCGGTTAGGGCAAACTGTCAATGATTTTAAAAAATAAATTTCTCCAGCGAGAATAGATGAATCTCTCTTTTCTCTTGCATGCTTGATAAAAATATTTCATTCTAATAGTCAGAATACATAAACATGCCATTTCACACATAGATGAATATGCCACTTGTAATACTGCTTATAGGTTTGTAGCAGGAATTTTTTAAATTCTACTTTGTGTAATTCCTACAAAAAAGAAAAAGAAAAAGAAAAACAGAGCATGCTGCATTTATAATTGTATATGTTGCATATTCCTTATAGGAGAGATTTTTTTTAGTTGATCTCAATATAAATGTGATAATTGATAGGATTTTTCACAGCTTTGCTTTTGTTCCACACATATCCTTGTTGCTCCTCTACTTCCAGGTGTCTTGAGAATCATTTATATTGGCTGACGCGAGTAGACTGGGAAGACACAGTGGTCTGAACCAATTGTAGTTTTATAATTTTATTTTTTCAAATTAAAAAGAAAAACATAGCCTGGCTGGTATGGTTCAGTGGTTGAACATCGACTTATGAATCAGGAAGTCATGGTTTGATTCCTAGTGTGTGGCATGCAGGACGCAGCTGATCGATGATTCTCTTTTTTTTACTTGGGACATGCCCACAACCAAGGTACATGCCCTTGACCGGAATTGAACCTGGGACCTTTCAGTCTGCAGGCCAACGCTCTATCCACTGAGCCAAACCGGTTTCGGCTCTCCTAGTGTCTTGAATGGGCCCAGGCAAGTACAAGGCCCTAAAGTTTGAGTTTCACTAGCTTTACAGAAAGTCTGCCTCTAATAGTGCCTTTCTTTTATAAATATATTTTT